GTGGCAGAAGTCTGAGTGAATTCGGATAACAGGATGCCGATTTTCCCTGGCACATAAGCTGAACGGTGCCGCGAACTTACTTATTCGTTTGCTCATTCGCTCTATCTCTAGCGATTTTTCTGACATTCCATTGACCTCATTGACCTCACGGTCATACTTCCCTAAACAGGCACTATCAGGAACATTGAACACACTACTACTAAATGCTGCGTTTCTCTACGGAGTCCGAATGCAGTGACATTTTCACCTTGGTTGTTTTTGTCATGGATAAAAAGAGGGTGTCCTCAACGGGCGGACATTGTGATGTACTCTACTCTTGAGGTCACTTATTCAAAAGAGCCGGCGTGTCGAATGCGGGGAGGGGACAAGTTAGTCTCTCTTTGGGCGAGTTCGTGTACTTCGGCTGTCCATTGGCAGCTAGCTGCTTTTGCTAATGATAGGCTGGTGTTTACGGCTTGTCCTCCTCGTGTAGTGAGAAGATCTGTATAACCGGTAAGGTTCTTGAGGCTTGGCGAACAGGTCCCGATTTGCTCATCGAGAAAGCTACTTGTCTCCCTCAAATTTAGGCACCCTGTGGCTTCATAGTCTCCAGGTTAAGTCATTTGGTTGTCGGGTAATGGTGATTGCACGATTTGCATAGACTCACCTTGACCTCAGTCAGCTGTGCTATCTAACTCAATGGTGCGGGAGGTACTCGGGGTGATAGTAACCTGCGCGGAGTCAAACTTGTTTGCTGGGCTGTACTTATGAGTGGCAATGGACGCGGCCAGTTTGTCGTGGCGGCGTTGCATGGTAGTATTTGTAGTCGTTAATGCTAATTCGACAAGCGTTGTGCGAAATCGGATGGCGTTTTGGCAAAATAGGACATCGCGTGTCTAACGCACTGTAGCAAATATGAATAGCAGAGAACATCGGTTTCTAAAGCCCCCTCGATTCTGTCTGATGCAGCTTATAAGGTTGTGTTCCAGACCGCATTTGTTCACCAATAGGTTTTTAATCATGCGGACACTGCGATTGGCTGGCGCTTTATGAGAGACTACCTACGGTAAGCATTTTATCCGTCCCAAGCCCCCGGTACCTTGAGGAATCCCCCGACAACCACTGCATACGTATCGCTCATTACGTTTCCTGGTTAAAACAATCTTAACTTGGCACTACTCGAAGAATAGCGGTAAGACCTTAACGGTTGTTTTCCCTTTAACTAACTCGTCTTACAGTTCCGCTCTTTCAAAGCGAATAGAAGATAATACATCCACGATCCTAACGGAGCATGCCACAATGGCGGCAGGCGCGGTTTTGCCCAGTTTAATTAAAACACCGTAAATCGGTTTAGCACCCTTTACCGCCGTTTTCTTAGGGCAAAGAGGATAGTCAGGCCACAAAGAAGAATAATATTACGGAAGGAAGTGACCGAAATTTGGGGTCGAGGATAGGACCGAGGCATTGCTGGATGATCAGAAAGATGAAGCATATCAGATTAGACTGAAGGATTTTGCAGTAGGCAAAAAGCAATCCGTACGAGAAGTATAGTGCCGTACAAATAAAATAGTTATACCAAGGCAAGAGCGAAACAAACCAACCTGCCGTCGTGCCAATAACGCGTCACTGACGTTTCCAACCGCAGCACTCTACGACAAAAGATGCTATAAAATGTTGCGGCATTAGTTTATTGGTGTGTAGAAATCAGGAGAGGAGACCGTTGTTAGCTTAGTCGAAGCCGATTCAGTACAGGTTTGGCGTAACTCGCTGCGGAGCGGAGTTCCTTCGGGGATCTTTGCTGTTGCAGTAGGAGCAGCAGAGCGTTGCTGTGCTCATCAGATGACAGCCCAGCAGCCGTTTGTAAGGTTTCCCTCTCGGTGCATTAGAAAGGACCTCCGGTAGACTGTTCCTGTCATTCATTACAGGAATTGCTATGGTAGACGTTGGACGGACGTGAAGTAATCGGCCCTTGTACAACTTCCACTTGTGGCTTGTGTCGACCTGTCCACATTGAGTCGAATGCGCTTTTGTATATAACTCCCAAGTTCCTCTCTTAGGATCCGTCGGGTGTAGATAAGATCAGCACGGCGCCGACAACAATCCATAGGGAACATGTTAAGCTTTTGGAGTTGAAGAGTTTAAGCAAGGTCTCGAAGCGTAATGATGGATTTCGAGCCACGCCTCTGAACTCGTTCTAGCAAGCCGCACTCAGGTTTTAAGAGAGGATAGGTAGCTGGTAGCTCATACTTCAACTAGAAAATTGCTGGTATGATACGGGCGAACGACCTGCTTAGAGCACCCAGCATCATGGTTGCGGCCGGGACCTTTCACAGGGTGTCTTTGGAAGTTCTAAGGTCGTGACACGATAACCACAGATCTTCCTTTCGTATAACATACTGAAAAGGTAGCCGCCAGTGTGTTACACACTGAGGGAAGCAGGGTTACTAATCGGAAGAACAGGCCATTCGGTGTAGTTAAAGGGTAATTGTCACTTGACGGACTAAGCTTGCAGCTATCCCAGCGCCATTTGGGGTCTGTCCCCATCCCCAAGACTAGCTAGCTACTTCTGACCATAGCTTGGAAGCATCAGCATAGATTAAGCCGTCGGCTTGAACAACTGCATGATGATCAGTAATGTAGAGCTTGAAAAGTTCCGGCCCGAGGCCGGAGGCTTGTGGGAATTCATTAGTCATAGACACAGAGCTAGACAGCATTTGGTGCGCCTTCATTTGAAGCGTCCGAGCTCCCAAGAAGCCAGCAGCCAATTCAAGAAGGTTTCCAGTGGCGCCAATTCCCTGCAGTTGGAGCAGAAGTCGTTTGTGTAGGACTTTGTTAAAAGCGTCGCTGAAGTCAATGTAGATAACATATAGGTGTCTCCGGTCCTCCACTGAGTTGACCCATGCTGCTCCGGTAACAAGCAGGTTAGAGATGCAGGAGCGCTCTCTGCGGAATCCGTGCTGAGCGGCGAAGTTGACGCACAGACTTTCGCAGTGGCAGTGGACGGCACGCTTGACGAACAGTTCCTTACGCTTGCAGATCACCGACGTCAAGCATAGTAGTTGATGGTTTTCAGGACGGTGCCTGTACCCTCCTTGGTACGTGGGCGGTCCAATCCTGCCTTTCCAGTCCTGTGGTAGGCGCTACTCTGCTAGAGAACGCAAGGAAACTTGCTGTATAGCAGCAGCAATTTATTCTGCAACCATCTTGAGGAATAAGGGATGAAGTCCGTCGGGGCCGGATGCGGAGTTAGGGTTCCTTTCAAGGGGCAGTCTCGACTATCTCAGGATTGATTGCGTCATGCTCCAGCGGTGGATAATGTGTTATCCAATCGGCAGTGGCTAATGACGGTGCCACAGAAAACCTACATATCCTCTAGTGCGCATACTTTGGTTTCCGAAAGGCACTTTCATGCGCTTCCAACTTACTTATTGCGAGAGAAATATGGGCGAGGTCTGTGGATGCTGGTAATCGCTAGGATGTCGTTTACGTCGACTTTAGAGGGTAGTTGGACAAAGTGCCCCATAGACGTTTTCTTCTCACACCCTGAGGTTTCCGCAAAGATGCTTGCCTAGGCCGCTGACTTCATGCATGGTCGAAGCCTTTAAGGTAAGGTGAAGGAAACCTACGCCAATCCTGTTTACATGACCCGCGCGATCCCACGGGGCTCTGTCCCTGGACATGTGCTCATCAAAGGCTTCATCAATGATCTTCCATCGCAGCTCCAAACTGAGTATCTCATAAATGATGCTGAGCTGAAACTGTGGCTAGACTTGTCCAAACTTGCTGATGGTGACCTGCTACGGACGACGCTGGGCCGGTATCACGGCTGGTCAAGGGAGTGGCGGCTACCCAGTAACCATGATGTGTCCTGTCCTTCCAATTGGTGCCCCGGGACCCTTCGGCGTTCATTATATTGGGGACTTTCTCCCTAAGAACGCAAACATGGAGAAGGGTCTTGGAGTTCTTGTCTCGTCAAGCAGCAAGACCCAAGACGCCCTAAAGCAACTTGCCGCTGCTAACAGGTTGAAAGTTTCTGTACTTAGCTTTATTTCCCAGGTGATCTCAGAGTTATTCCAACTTTTGTGCAGCCCATACGTACGACCACGTATGAGTACGGAATGCCAACACCCTTTCTTCTCAGGAAGGGCGAATGTGTGCCGCTAGATAAGGCTCAGCGGCGGGGCTCGGAATGCGTCATGATACTCCGGAAATTGTTTACACTCATGGCCTCCAAAGGATGAACTTATTCGTCATGGAGTATCGCCGTCATTGTGGTGGCTTGATTTACACGCGACTTATTCTTCGAAGTGAGAGGAAGCTGAGATGCAAGTGTTCTTTAGCCTTTGTGCGGATATTTCTACTCGAGGCCGAAGTATGAATCTGTTAAAAGGCGTGTGGTGAATGACTGAAACAGTTTACCTGAGCTTGTCGTCAGTGCGAAACCAACGACATGCTTCAAATGTTTTCCAGACCTCTGTTTGATGTACAAGCACGGATCCTGCTGTGCTTACTGTGACCGCAATGCTCCTTGTGGAGCATTGCGCCGCATCAACTCACATGGTCCTTACAGTGAGTGGGAAGTGCTGAGACTGACAAATGATATATTTACTGTACTCTACAAACCTATAAACGAGAGAAACTTGAAGCTGGCAAAGGAGCTTTCCTCATGTTCTCTATATTCCAAGGAACCACTGAACCAGTGACCGCTCCAAAACTCATGACGTTATAAATGTGTGTTGATCGTCTTTCACTTGCTTCTGTTTTTGACCGTTATAGAACCAAGAACATTGTAGCAAGTAGCAGGGCTGATGGGCGCTTTATCGCTTACTGGCACAGGAAACGGGACGCCTGTTAGGTGGAAGTTTGTTGCGTCCCTGGATCGTGCCCTGTTCTGAGTTAAAAGTCCATGAAGTTGTCAAAAAATTGCGGGTTAATTTACGTACAGATAACCATATTATAATGTTGTGCAAGGGTTTACTGACGGTAGCTGTCTGACCGTCACGTAATTGTTTTATCGTTTGATTGAACGCAAACTTCTATAGTGATCAGTCAGATGGACGCTACCCCGCCTTCGTCAAAAGTGAATAATTCCGTCTGCAGTAACAAATGACGGCCTATGTATTTGAAGGAGATATCTCAATACATACTGTATTTTAAATTACTCAATGCGAATCTAATGTATTACAGGTGCATTCACCAGGAACTTGGCTGCCAAACAGGGACAACCTTTACTTGATTATAGAAATATTTAACTATTGTAGAAGGACACGCCTAGTAGAGGCCATATTTCCTCTGTTGATACACGAAAAGTTTTCTTTTAACAAGGTACGTGGAAAAGCACATATTATTTTCTAGACGTTTTATAGTGCTGAGTCAGCCTGCAAAGTAGCAGAGAGGCTCGAAGGTACTAACCTTTTGGTACTAAAACTTATGTTCCTGTCAGATGAAACCGTCCGAATTGAGCTGAGACAAATCACGGATGTGTACTGCGGTGGAACCCTTTTGGCTTATTTCGAAACAACAGCAAAGGAACTTTTCTGCCCATGCCCACATATGTGCTTTAGAACCTTACCAAGTAACGAAATGGTTATGCTCAGAACTGTGGACTTTCCGGTAGTTTTTCCTGCTTTTTACTAACGTACTAAGGGCGTCTCTCCGAGAATTTCCTTCACGGTTTCATCAACGATCAAATGCCACCCACCTCAGTACTACGTATGTTAGTGATTTTTATTGAGATTGAATTGTAGAAAGAAAAGGACTCAACTGATTACTGCAAGGATTGGTGAGTGCCTTTAAAACCTTTAGCCATTAGTAGTTAAATTGCATTCTTTTAATGCTTTTGAAAGGGCGATTATCACATTGCTGTAGCTAGGTAGCGCAAGCGATTAAGAAACCTACGCTAGATTAACCGTTGCAGCACACTGTGTCTAATTTTTGTGCGCTTGGGCGCTTTAGTAAGGCATAGGATAAACTTTCGGGCACTCATACAAAATGTTCGTTAGCGCAGCCTCAACCTTTGTCGTGAGTGCATATTTCCTGGTTGCAGCTACCGTCAACAATCAGCAAAATCGACCATCAGATCGCAATAATGTGAATGGAAGCAGTAAGGTTACACAACAATGTTTGCTTGGTGGTGGTCCATTGTAAATATGTTTCACTGGGTTAGCCAGGGGCACACAAAACAGTCACTCACAGCAGCATATTGAACACTCACGCTAACTGAGAGCATGACTTCGTTAAAACGTAAAGACCTATGTGTAAAACAGCCGTGTTAATGATGCAGTATTTTATTTACTCATATAATGCCTTATTTTATTATTAGTTTTTACCTCTGCGAGTTAAAAATACGCTCCGAGATGGAACGCTGGTCGTCCATCTGTGCGGACAATGTAGTAAACGCCACATGCGGTACTATGATTGCAGGCAAAACTAAATCAACTGTTAACACCTGTGAGACACTTGTTGTCAGCGCAGCTGTGGCGTTGCTCATTATATTATTATTATTATTATTATTATCATTATTCAACACTTGACCGATTGGCAGAGTGTCACAACACATAGTTAACATCAACCATAAGCGGAAAAGACGGCTATTCAGGGAAACAAGCTGGAAGTTTCGAATGATCATGTGTTGTATGGGCAGATATCTTCTTGGTTGCCCAGGCCAAGGAAGGTAGAGGGCCGTTGAAAACCCCGAGTACGTTAAGCAACGTGCGGCGATAGCCTTCACATATTGGGTCTCACGCGGTACAAGAGGCAAAGGGATTTCTCAGATATGCAAATTTGTCACGTCTATAAAGTATGATTATGAGCTGACCATTTTTGATATCCGCTAGTATGCATGTCATGTGTCGCTGCCTTATTAGCTCACACGTCTAGCAGTTGCTAGCATGCCGGCTTACTCAGGTATATCTTCTTTACTGAAAGCGACTGCTTCAAAGTTTCAAAGCAACGCAGCATTATGCCATCTGTTTGTAATTTCAGAGAACCACGCATGAAAAGGTCTCCCAGGATAGCATTTCTGCATTTGTTTCATGCTGATTTAACGTCCTTTAACTGCTGCCGTACTTTTCTGCAAATAGCACTTTTTGGTCTTGACATAGCTTCCGCAGTCCATTCATCTACAAGTAGATATAATGGTCTAGAGAAAGCGTCGCAAACAAACCATTGTTTACTTTATTTTTTCTACAGAAATAGAAGTATATTTTGAGCTGATACACATGAGTTGAAGTGTATAATTCTGTTTCTATCACTATAGGCTGGACCTTAACATGATGTGATGGTTTGCACACATTTTCTCCAGTGTTATAATGGGCAGTTCGCTGTGACCTCTTAAGAGCTACTCTTGTCACATTCAACGTCAGGTTAACTTATTATCCTAATGCGTAGGGTTGAGGGTAGAAAATGTGGTGACATTTATTGCCGCGAAATCGGATCGTTGCCATCTACACGCCGCCTTAAGTCAAACTAATGAGACAAAGGCTATAGCTGAGGACACTACTTGTTCTCCAGCCTAGGTTCTGGCACCATTTTGTACCTTAACCTACCTAAAACCAGGAATTAGTAAATGACTTTTTATTTAAGTCTGAGTCACACACTGCATCAAACGACGCCTAGTTTTGAAAGCCAGACCAAATATGACACGTAAGGCGAGGCGCATAAGTAGAAAAATACTACTGCAGATGTCCTAAATCTTTGGTTTCTTATTCGTCGCTCTCACTTCCTTCTTTGTCCATATTTCTAAGCTGGCTTTGACAGTACTTAAGTTAATTGACGGCAATCGCTGTTAATTGGCGTTTTACCGTTTATAGGCATATTAAAGCAACACTCCTTGAACACAAGTCATAAGCAGTACCTGAGTAGTCAATGTTGCCCTTCTTTTTCGTGTCACACAACATCCTTACTGTAAACTGTAGGTCAGTAGGCTGTAATTGCACGCCAACTGGCTAAGCTTAGTGGTGACGCGTGTTGCATATCTAAAGCTAACATTAATGACGCTCAAGCGGTTACATGATTGACCAGTTGATTGTGCACACTAAAGGCTGATAATGCAGTAGCCACACGTCAGAATGTGTTTGGCGTCGTGGTTAGCTTCTAAATTGCGGTATAGTTGCTTACATGCATTCTTGTGAGCAATTGTGTATGTGCAGACAACTTGAAAGTATCAATCATAGTTGGCGCATGAAGCAGTGCTTGATGGCACCAATTTTCTATAGCGCATTATGCCCAAACTACTGCATTCTCGGTGTTGGCCAAGAACACGTCGTTTGGCGACATTAACTGTTACGATATCGTGCTAATTGCATTGGATATAAAAGCGCAAATACCATGTTTGGTCTCCACATACTCTTAGCTAGGTAGTAAGTCTAGCTGTACCTCTAAGCACGTCTTTTCTGTTTTGCACCGAGGATCGATTGTATTCTAACAACACAACCCTTAGACAATTGCGTGTCAAGCAGAAACTTGGCATTATCTGATAGGCAGCAGGCGGTAAATTCGTATAGACTGCATAGTTATAAGTTTATGATAGCGTGGTTCCATCCTGGACTACGGCACCTTAAAGAACACGTGCTCCGGCTCTGACCATGTCCTGATTCTGTGTCGAGTTCCCCTAACTCTTACCGAAAGCATATCAGCCGTTTTCCTTAACTACCAACTGAGCAGTTATCTCCGATCGCAGTCAAACAAAAATCTCATGCTACGCTGCATACTAGGCCTTCATCTATTCAGTTCAAAGGTGTCTTGCTTTACTGGAACAGTATTTTAGCCGCTATGCACGACACTGAAGCCACTGCTTTCGGCACTTTTAGTGGTCGCTGCACAAGTCACTGGATATTTGAGACTGGTGTGATCCTGTGTAAAACAGTAAACTAATTCCCATTTGCATCTGAGAAAATTGAAGCGGTAGTTGCGATTAAGCGCCAGCTAAAAAGAAGCCAACCGATCCACCCAGCTGGTTCAAGGCAGTTATGCGTCAGTGCGACGAGTAAAGACGGCAGGGTGACAAAAGTTCAAGACATGCCTACCGTCTGACATATTGGGTAGGGCTATTCCAGGTGAAGTCTGGTTGACTTTATGTTGCTGGACATATTCCAACTCACGTGTAGCAGCCTGCACCATGGCTGGTTGGTTTGTATGATACATCAAAGTGTGTGCTAACCCGTTAACACAACTCTCATTCCTTTTCGATCTGCTGGCCTGCATTTCCTTTTGCCTGCTGTCTTTGAATATAGCGGTGATGTTCGCAGAAAGCACTGACCCACCATTTTGTACTGGTATTGAGAACAGAAAGTCTTTCAGCCAACTTGGGGGAATCATTAATAGTGGTGCTATATAAAGAAGACAGCCGCACCGATTGTGCTAACCGCAGGGATACCGACCTGACGCATGTGCATGAAGAAGCAAGGCGCACCAATGACCTATTGATAACTTGCTTCCTTTCAGTAGTGACGAAGTTAGTTGCATCAATTATTGTACGTCTTTCCGCAAGACAACGAATTTTGATAAATGAAGATCACGTTCATAACACGGATGACAGTGCAAAGTGAGGAGCGCTATATTGCAGTTAGATCTCAGCCATGACTCAGTGACCTAAGTCACTGGCTTGCAAGAGTAAGGTTGTGGGTTTGCATCCTGCAAGGTTCGGCGGACAAGCGTTACGGCCGCGTCCCAATAGAATGAAACGGCCATCAAACGCTTTCCTGGATTATGGTGGCCGTTTGCTAAGTTTAACTGCAACAACTTACAAAACATTAAGAGCAGACCAATTTTTCTAAATATTGGTGGTGTATTCACTCTAGGTAGCTTTTGGAACAGTATCAGGCCTACCGCAGACTGATGCTAGCTGTGTTTCTCGCTTATAATACTGCGTTCTACTCGGTTGATCACCTTATCTTCTTTTACATGCTTGTTTGGAAGAATCTCCCCATCAAATACCTAAGCATTCATCATGCTCTGTATTGGAAAGCCCCAGGTCGCGCCATCTTTTAAGTGATGTTTCAGCCGCTTTTCTGACAACAAGTGGCTTTCGTTAGGGCTAAGCTTTTTTCGCATCTACATTCACGTAAGTGCACTCTATAATTCAATTTCCATTTTGGAATCTAACGATGTGTTTATTAAAACATTGCATGGTGGAACCTTGAGTGAGATGGATTGTAAGGACGACACTTTTTTATTCTATAAAAATAGAGATGATTTCTGAACTTCTCCCGCTATGTGATATGCGTTTCCGACCTACAAAGTGGATAGTGTTATTACAAAACTACTAGTTATTTGATGAAGGTTTGATGTTAGACGATGAGTAGGTAGGATTAGTTGCCTAATTCACGTATAGCTCCTTCGCGCAATATAAATACTAAAATGCTTTGTACTCCGCTCTAATTTTCCATGACACCAAAAATTAAGCATTGACAATGTAAGAAAAAGCTTTCGGTTGCGCACAACCAAATACAGTACGAAAATTTGCGGGGTTGACGACTTTAAAAACTTAACATCTATATGTCTTCCTCATCCAGGTTAAACGGGAAGCTATTTGCACGCACAACACATAACCCCACGTATCCCACCAAATGACTACCTATTTTTTCCCTTTCTGTTGTTAATATTCAGTAATGCGGCATTATAGCAAGTTTCTACCGGTCAAGCATATATGGTTAGGGGCATCCGGTTCCGGATTTGCCTCATACTGTGACGTCCATTGGACAGCCACAGCATGACTGCGCCAACACAGAGACAAATTTAGGCTTGCGCCACACCACGCACAGCTCCGTCCACACACCCATC